GGATTGTGCGCGTGAGTGAGCGAGGGAGTGAGGGAGGGAGTAACATGGGCGCAGCAACGCGGCACGCTTGTTGGGTGTGTGAGCGAAGTGCAATCGACTGCATATGCGAGAGGAAGCGCCACAACTCCGTACCTTCATCGACATTGTCAAGCAGCATGTCCAGTGCCTGCAAGCATTGGCGCAAATCATTGCAACCTCATCAGAGTTGTTCCACTTGCTCATACATCATGTCACGAACAAACAAACAGATACACAGACAGCCAGCCAGCCAGCCAGCCAGAAAGCCAGACAGACAGACACAGCCACAATCACGAGCGGCGTACGGTGTGGAGGCCAAAGAGGAGCTGTACAAGCGTCTCCTGCCAGCGTGTCGGGCGCTGTGCAGCCGTTGCCGCATTGACTGTCGACGCGAAGGCACACGCCGCAGCCTGCACATGTATGCCGTGATGGTGGCGGCAGCGTTGGCGTAAGGGCAGTGACTCGGTGTGATAGTTGTCGTGGCCATGTGATGGCACGCATGCTGCTGCTGTCTCTCCTTTTCAAACCCACATACAGACAGCCACATGCCATACTGCTGCAGCTGAACTGCACTAACCTCTTGGATGGCGCGTGTGGGCGATGAGAGCAAGCGGAGGCATGTGCTCTTGATGCGCCCAACGCTCGACTTGCAGTGGCCAGGAAAGCACGAGCACCACGTGCTCAGCAGCTCAAACGCAGCGCACACCTGGTGCATATGTGTGTGTGTGTGAGTGTGTGTGAGTGTGTGTGAGTGAGTGAGTGAGTGAGTGAGTGAGTGAGTGAGTGAGTGGGTTGAGTGAGTGTGTGAGTGAGTGAGTGAGTGAGTGAGTGAGTGTGAGTGAGTGAGTGAGTGAGTGTGTGAGCTTTAATGTGAATGCGCGTGTGTGCGCGTACGTGGCAGGTGCTTGAACATCGATACAGCGTTGTGCAAGACACAACGCATGTGCGCAAGTCACCTCGGGTATGTTGTGCGATGTGGCAATGAGATCGGTCACAAAGCGGATGAGTCTGCTGGTGTCCTTGTCTGTGAAGGAGCGACGCAACTCCGTTTGCTGGATACCCACGCCAACACATGCATGTACACGACCACGTGAGCACATGTGAGCACATTTCAGCACATTTCAGCGTCGTGGTTGTGTCCTCTGCGGGTGTCATGGAGGCTATCAGCACCGAAGAGCAAGGGATGTAGCACGTGCAAGTTGTGTGTTCGTGCATCTCACCAAAGCCATACGCTCCAGCAGCTGTGTCGCGACAGCCATCACGTCCAAACTCAGGGCGTCGTAGTGATGGTTCTGACCAGTAGCGAAAGGCGACCAAGTGTGAGTGCCATCCGAAATGTATGTGGAGGAAGTTCAAACATGGTGTCTCAACGTGCACAACGCCGCAGAGCAGGGAGACAGGGCAGGGAGACAGCCGAAGCGGATGCAAGTACACACACGGAGAGAGGGAGCACACACATACACAGGCACACAGTGATACAGACTCAGACACAGAAAGAGACACAGGCGCAGATACAGATACACAGACACAGATACACAGATACACACATAGAGACACCTTGAGCATAGCGTGCAGCTGTTGGATCCAGATTGTGCCATGCTGGCCAATGTACATCTCAGGACAGAATCGAACAGCCGACTCAAGCAGCTTCAAGGATTGTTGCCTGCATGTTGCGTGTGTGTGTGTGTGTGTGTGTGTGTGTGTGTGTGTGTGTGTGTGTGTGTGTGTGTGTGTGTGTGTGTGTGTGTGTGTGTGTGTGTGTGTGTGTGTGTGTGGCCCGATCGCAGCTCGCTTGCTGTGCGCACGCAACATAGCATCAAACACTACCTGGTGTGTGCCGTCTTGGCCTCGTTCAGCATCTTGTTGATGGAGGCCACGCACGTTCCAGCTTGTTCCCCACTCTGCCATGGATGGCGCGCAGCAAGCAAGTACAGCAAGCAAAGGGAACCAAGGCATTGGAGGTGGGGGGAGCAAAACAGAAGCACACAGAGTTCACAAGACATGCACAGCTGTCAGTGTTCAGTGCAGCCATGCGTCTCGCGCGCACAATACGGGCACAGAGTCAGGCTGGCAGATTGTTGCGCAGCCAGGGACACACACACACACACACACACACACACACACACACACACACACACACACACACACACACACACACACACACACACACACACACACACACACACACACACACACACACACAGCGGAGAATCACACGGCCCTCCTTCAACACCCAGTGCTGACCATGATGGAAGCCGCATGCTGTGGCAAGTTCGCTGCCAGCACCGCCTGTGCCGCATCCATCTTCGTCTCTTGCTTGCTTGCTTTGTTTGTTGGTTCAAATCGCGTGTGCAAAGCAAACACGTGGGTGGATTTGTGCGCGGTTTTCGCTGTGATGAGAAGCGAAAAGCGAAAGCGTGCTGTGTTGTTGACACATGACATGATGTTGTTTCGTGCGTCTCTACTCTCTTCCTACTCTCTTTCCCTTTCTTTCCCACTCCCTCCCCTCCCTCTGTTGCGCTCTCGTTCTGCTCATTCGTTTCGGTTCGTTTATGAGTGCCGGCGAACAGTGTGCATGATGGCAGCGCCACATACGGCCGCCGCCACAGCCACAGCTGCCACCACCAAGACCTGGCTGCTTCCACTTCCACCACCATGGGCACGTGCTTCCTTGCTGGTTGCTGCTCGTGTGTGAATGTGCCGCCGGTCCGGCTTGCTTTGAAACACCGTCTCGATACCGCCAGTCCTGGTGGTGCGAACAAGCGACAGGACACCGTTGGGAGGGAGGAGGGGAAGGGAGTGTGTGAGTGAGTGCGCATGTGTGTGTGTGCGAGCGCATGTGAGTGAATAAGTTTGAGGGTACTCAGGATGCTGTTCAGTGAGTTCCGATGAATAATAAGCTGATGATCAGCACAGACAGAGAGACAGACAGACAAACAGAGGCAGACAGACAGACAGACAAACAGAGGCAGACAGACAGACAGACAGATAGACGGACAGACGCACATCCACAGACACACATCCACATCCACAGACACACATCGACAGACACAGAGACACAGGCACACACCTGAATGCACAAACGCGTGCGCAGCAGAATGCAAAGTCCGACAACCGGTTGATGAACTTGAGAGCAGCAGCCGAGCATGCACCGCCACTATCGTCGTCATCGTCATCATCACTACCATTATCGTCGTTGTCGTCGTCGTTGCTGCATTGGCGGAGATGGACAAGGGCGCGCTCTGCCCGGCGGCATACACAGCGCGCCAAGTGCATGTGTGCGGCAGCCTTACCGCCGGAGGGAAGAATGAAGTTCCTGAGGGGCGGAAGTTCGCTGTCCAGCTCGTCAATGCGGCGCTCCAGCCACCTACAGATGCAGTTACTCGTGTGGAGTTAGCATGGACAAGCAAAAGCAAACAAAGACATGGAACAAAGCAAACACTTGAAAGAGCCAACGCATGAGTGCTTCCCTTTGCCACGCACACGCACACAACGCACTTGAGGTTCGTTGCATCATCGTCAAAGTCCTGGAATTCCCGAAATGGCGCGCGTGCACACCCATGACCGTCGTGAGACCACCCCATACAGAGGCACACAGTGCACACAGCACAGTCATGCACGCGTGCATGCAACACACGTACACAACATACACATGCACATGCACATAAGCAGACACACAGACATAGACACAGGCACAGGCGCATAAGCAGACACACAGGCACAGGTACACATACCCATGCACATAAGCAGACACACAGACACATAGACAGAGGCACACAGTGCATACAGCACAGTCATGCACGCGTGCATGCAACACACGTACACAACATACACATGCACAGGCACAGACAGACACACATGCACAGGCATAGACACACACAGACACAGACACATACGCACATACACATGCACACCTTGACGGACACCACGCCAGGGCTGGCAATGTGCGTGCCCAGCTCCATGAGAAGACACTGAATCTCGTGCAAATCAGCATCGACGTCGTGCAGCAGGCGTGCGTCCAGGTGCTCTCGGACCAAGCCAAACTGTGAATTCAATTCATCCACGTGTCCTGGTGTCCACAAACAGCACAGAAGGTAGGCGTGTGGGTGTGGGTGGTTGTGGACAGAAACAACCTGGTGAGATGAACAGACACGCAAACGAACAGATACAGACAGAGACAGACTGATAGATAGGCAGAAACACAGACACACACACACAGACACACACACAGACACACAGAAACACACACACGCACACACACTGAAACGCACACACACACTGACACACAGCCATACACACAGGCACACAAGCACACAGACACATGCAGAGTGACAAGCCAACTCACCGAGGCATTCGAACACAATGTCTGTTTTTGGACGGCGTTGGCCCGTGTAGAGCTGAGATGTTCCCTTGTCACCGGTCCGAGTGTACAACATGGACTTTGGAGGCTTCCGCGCCTGCGGCCCTGTGTCTTGTCTGCTCCCCATGGCGGTTGGTTGTGTGTGAGGGTAAAGGTGGTCCTGCGAAGTGAAAATGGTGCTGTTGGTGGTGGTCTCACTTGCAGCTGGTGATTGTAGAAATTTATGAACTCAACAACCATTTTTCGAACCACACGCTTGCTTGCTGCCACCACACAAGATAAGACAAGAGAGCGTGAGGCACAGACCTTCACATCACATCACTTCACCAGCCAAGCAGCCAGGGCAAGCGAGAGGGCAAGCGAGAGGGCGAGCAAACAGCAAACAACCATGGCCACCAAGTTTTCGCAGTCGCTGCTGACGCACACGCAGCGATGGTACCTGGTTGATGCGCGTGGGCAGAAGGTTGGCCGGCTGGCAAATATGGTGTCGGCTGTGTTGAGGGGCAAGACAAAGCCCACCTTCCACCCCGGCGTCCTCTCACCAGACCACGTCGTCGTCATCAATGCAAAGGTGTGCTCATGTGGATGTGTGTGCATGTGCGTGGGTGCGTGAGCGTGGGTGCTCAGTGTGTTTGCGTGAGCGTGGGTGCTGTGTGTGCATGTGTGTGTTGTATTTGCTTTTGCGTGCATGTGCGTGCGTGCATGTGTGCGTGCGTGTATGGTTGCGCTGGCCATTTCAAGCCCCTTTGCTTGTCATTGTCTTTTGCCTGACGTCCAACCCCCTTGTGTTGCCCTTCTTGCGTGTTGCAGGATGTTGTCTTCACCGGTCGCAAGTGGAATCAGAAGCTGTACAGAAAGCACACGGGCTGGCCCGGCGGTTTCCGGGAGGAGACGGCTGCCAGCTTACACGCACGCAAGCCAACAGAGGTACGCTTGCGCGTGCATGTTGCCGCGCATGTGCATGTTCGAGTCCATGACTCTTCTCGACGCATGTTCATCCCAAACACGCGCTTCTCTCCTTCGAGTCTCACCCTCCTTTTCACCCACGCACACACACACACACACACATCCCCGCTGTTTGTGTTATAGGTTGTGAGGAAAGCCGTGGATGGAATGTTGCCGAAGAACAACTTGAGAAAACAGTTTATGCGCCACCTTCACATCTTCGAGGACGACGTAAGGTCCTTCATGCTATTGCGCCTCCCTATGACTCTTCCAAACAACCGAGAGGCCAAACACCACCCTCGTACTCAACAGCTCGCTGTTGTGCATTCGCTCGCACACACACACACACACACACACACACACACACACTGACACTGTCGCTGATTGCGCGCGTATGCATCACACTGTCCATCGACCACAGCAACACCCGTACGACCGCAACATCTATGCTGTGCTTGACGGTCCCCAGGAGCCTGTGCCGCCAAAGCCCGATCTGTTTGTCATCCGCACTGTTGAGGGCGACGAGGAAATCCCAGCACCAGCAGGCGGCGAGGTGGGTCGTGTGTCGTGTGTTGTGTTTTGTGTGCGCGCGCGTGTGTGTGAGATGCGATATGTGTGTGTGTGTTTTGTGTGTGTGTGTGTGTTTTGTGTGTGTGTGTGTGTGTGTGTGGTGTGGTGTGTGTGGTGTGCGTCTGTGTGTGTGTGTGTGTGTGTGTGTGTGTGTGTGTGTGTGTGTGTGTGTGTGTGTGTGTGTGTGTGTGGTGTACGTGTTGGCTATTGCACTTTTTCACCTCCACCATTCTTCTTCCACCCACCATTCTTCTTCCACCCACCATTCTTCTTCCACCCACCATTCTTCTTCCACCATTCTTCTTCCACCCACCATTCATGGTTGCTTCTTAATTCCTCTCCCCATCCCCCTTCCATCCACCATCCCTTGTATCCGCCCATTGCGCAAACACGCAAACAGTTTCTTGGTGTGGAGCTGGATTTCACGAGCGGAAGCAGCAGCGGCGATGCAAATGATTCAAGCAAATGAGGACAGGAAGGAACAACAGACCACGCCACGCGATGGATGGTGCAAGAAGGATCCACAAGACCGCATGCACACCCGGCACTGCTGTGGCCACCACGCTAATGCTAGCTTTGTTTGTAACGACCCACTGTCTTCTTGTTTTTGTATCTCTTTCCACTCACCTTTCCCTTCTCCGTCTCTCTCTCTCTCTCTCCAACGACATCATGTCCCGTGAGTTGTGCGTGGATGGTGTCTGTGGACTATCACATCATGCTGTGGGGGTTGTAACTTCAATGGTGTTGGTTTGAAAGAAAAAAAGGGGCGTGCCATCGTGGCTGCAACAACATCAGAACAGCGCACTGAACCAAGGCCACGTGAAGGCGGAACAGAAAGGGCCAAGTGTGTGGCTAGTTGAATGGCGCAGATTGGGCCGCGTGGTGGGTTGGTGGTTGGTTGCAGGTTGCAGGTGACGGTGCAGGAACTACAGTGGGGAGGGGGGGGGGAGAGGGGTTCGCGTATGAAGTTAAAAGACAGCAATCAACACAGGGAGAAGCAACAACAGCACAGTGGACGGAACAGAAAGCACACAACGCAACGAAAGAAACCATGGCGCAATGGTATGGGGCATGTGTGTGTGTGTGTGTGTGTGTGTGTGTGTGTGTGTGTGTGTGTGTCAAAAGCGGCCAAGGAGAGCAACTAGACGAACGGAGGCACACGGCTGCAATTGAAGGAAACAAGAACAGTAGCAACAAATGTGTGCATGGTTGGTGTTGGTCGTAACACAACAAGCAGGATAGGAGATGGAAAGGAAGAGAGGAACAGAGTAAGACAGGGGAGTAAGAGAGGAGAGGAGAGAAAGAGAGGAGTAAAGGAGGGGGGAGGAGGAGGAGGAGGAGGAGGAGGAGGAGGTAGAAAAACGGAGGAGTGTCAGAACAGGGGCCAACACGTGCTGGCATGTGCATGCGCGTGTGCATGTGTGCGCGCGTGCGCTTTTGAGTGATATCATTAGCTTGTGGTTGCGGCGATCAACACCACAACACGAGCACTCAAATCACAGCACAGCACAGCACAGGCCGCGTGCTGGTGGGCGGCGGGCTCATGAGCGGTGGCGCCACACGGTCGCCTCCGAGATGACGTACTCAAACTTGCGCGCGTGCTCGCGGATGGCGAGCGGCACCTGTGTTGTGCGCAGGAGCTCAAAGTTCTCGCCAAGGGCCGCCTTGAGGCCGTCCAGCGAACGCACGTTACCCTCGGGGGTCTCGTGCCCGCCAATCCACAGGTCCTTGGGCGTGTACTGCTCCATCCACGTGTATGGGGACGACAGGACCAGGATTCCGCCGGGGCGCACAAGGCCGCGCGCACCGCCCAGCCGCGACAGCAGCGTGCCGGGGGAGGACAGTCTGTCCAGCACGTTTGCAGCGAGGACTGCGCTGAAGGAGCCTGTGTCGGGTGGAATGCACATGGCGTCCATCTGCTTGAACTCGACGCGGGCTGGGTCCACGCCTTGCGGAAGACCGACGACGGCCTCCTCCTTGATGTCGCCCTCCTCGCGGATAAAGTAGGGCAGGGATCCCTCCTCCTTCAGCTGCTGTGCCGCATCAATAAACGACGCGCTGATGTCCACGCCAAGCACGCTCTCAAACGCGCGCGCAAGGGCAAACGTGGTGCCGCCAACGCCGCAGCCAATGTCGAGCACGCGGTCCGTGGCCACGCCGTGCTCGCGGGCGGCGTCCACAAGCAGCTGAGTCACCTTGTCTGTGTATCCGCGGGCGGCCTCGGGGACGTTGGCGTCGTCGGCGTAGTGGAGGTGGACGTACTGGCGCAGGACCTCCTCGGCCTGGTACTTGCGCTCCGTCTCATCGCGGCGGCTGCTGCGGAAGGGGTTCGTGCCGACGTAGGGCCCCTGGTTGTCCATGCACGACGTGACCAGGGCAGGGTCGGTCTGGTTGGGCAGGACGAGGCGGAAGCCCGCGTGCTGGAAGAAGTGGGGGCGGAAGTGGAAGCGGGCGAAGGAGCTCGCCTCGTCACCGCACGAGATAAACGACCCGCCGAGAATGAGGTTGTGCTGGCCGTCAAAGCAGGGCAGGGTGAAGTCGTTGTAGTATGGGTGGATCTTGAAGTTGGGCAGCGCGCTGATGTGGTCCTCGCACCAGTTCCACACGCTGCCAAACACGTCGTGGAAGCCCAGGCTGGTTGGTTTGAGCGCGTCGACGGGCGACTCAGAGCCGTGTGCCAGGTTGAGGTTGAAGCCGTACTTGTCTGCCATCTCGTGTCCATCTGCCACCATGCCCGGGTCGCGCGCGACGCCGAGGCTCTCGTCGGACATGTAGTCGTCGCGGATGCGGTGGTGCTCGGCCTCCGTCATGATGCGGTACCCCTGCGTGCGGTCGCGCCCTTCCATGTCGCTCTTCCAGTTGGCAAACGCCTTGGCCTCGTGGTAGTTGACGTTGGCGGGCCACGACCACGGCATGTCGACAACCTCAAATGCGGTGCGCAGACGGTACTGGTGCAGGCCAGAGGGGCCGGTGGGCACCCAGAATGTCGGCCATTTCACGTTGCGGAAGCAGCGCCACTTCCAGCCCTCGGGCTCCCACACGTTCTCGTCCAGGTATCCGCCACTGCACGCGTTGCGTTTGTGTGTGTGTGTGCGTGTGCGTGTTTGAAGAAAGGAGGGGAGGATGTCGTGAGAAGCTGAACAAGCAGTGGTAAAAAGAAGGGTTCACACATGCACGTTCACACATACGAGCACAAGCCCTCACTCTCATTTGTCGAAGTTGCACCCAAACGCACCCAAACACACACACAGAGGCACACGCGCACCTCTTGACAAACTGGAGGAATTCGCCGTTGCTGATGAGGTACTTGGTAGCCTTGAAGGACTTGACGTTCATGTGCTTCTCGCCGTACTCGTTGTCCCAGCCGTAGGAGGGGAAGTCGCGGGGCTTGCCCAGCTTCACAGAGCCGGCCTCCACCTCGATAAACTGGTTGACAGGGTAGTCCTTGCCCGCGACGGGCTCCTGGTCGGGCGTGACGCCGTGTTCGCGTGCGCTTGGGTGGATGGCGGGGAAGTGCTCTGGCGGGCGAACAAGCTCGAGCGGCAGCTCGCGCATGAGCACGCTGCTCGTCTCCAGGTGGATCTTCTCGTGCTCGGTGCCCATGACCACGGCCCAGAAGGGGGATGCCTCGAGCTGGTCAATCGTCTCAAAGGCCGGGTGGTTCTCGATGATGTCGACGACGGTGTTGTAGACCTCCTGGCGGTAGGCCTTGACCTCGTCCACGGTGGGCCAGCGCATGTCGTTCTTGCTCAGGTCGTCCCACTGCATCTCGTCGACGCCCGTCTCGAAGATGTGCTCGTAGTACTCGTTGATGGGCTTGCTGATGAGGCCGGCGACGCGGCACTTGTTCACGTAGACGGAGGCCGGGTGGGCGTAGTAGAAGATCTTTGGGTGGCGCAGGTTGTGGTAGGGCGGGCGGTAGAAGGGCTCCTCTGTCTGCAGCGCAGAAAAGAGCACCTCGGTCATGGTCCAGCAGTTGTCAAAGTAGTCGCGCAGCTGCTGCCGCGTGACGTTGCTCAGGTCCGGCTGGGGCAGGGAGCGGATGATGCCGTCGCTGTTCACGCCGGGACATGTTCCGTGCACTGGCGGCTTGCCTGTCCACCACGACTCTGGTCGTGGTCCAACAAACTTGTTGGGGTCCCCGGAGATGTTGACGCGCCAGGAGTCCACCACGTCCTGGTGGCCCTGCGTGTCCTCGTCTGTGGACACGGAGAGGGCACGGGCAAACACGCGGGCGGCGCGGTGCTGCGCTGCCGCATGTCTGCCGCGCAGCATGGCACCCACAGCCGCAGGCACGCGGGCCACGGACAGCCCTCCACTGTGCAAGAGGCGGGCACTCAACACAGCCATCCTCTCAGTTGGTGGTGTTGATAAGCAGCCGGTGTGGTGGAAGGGAAGGGAACCAACGGGCAGTGGTGGGGTGTTGGTATTGGTTGGTCGTTGATTGGTAGTCGAGAGAGTGGAGTGTGCGCAACAATCAATGAGGAAGGTGGTGGCGGGGCTCAGGAAGGGTGCGTGTGTTTTGTTTTCCACCTGTCACCGCACACACAAACACACACACTCAAGGCAAACAAAAAGGCAAACGTGCACACAACACGCACACACATGCGTCCTCCAAAAATTTGCAGTCCTGAGGCAAGCGGGCGTCAGGGCGTTCCCGCCAAACACGAATGATGCGGTGTGACGTTGTTGCTTCTGAGTCAGCAGAATACACGTTGGGAAGATTGGTGCAAGTCATCAATTAATCTTCACGACCCAATGTGAGTGCGCGGACGTTGATGAGGGAAGGAAAGCAAGAAGGGAGTTGTTGTCGTTGTGTGTGTGTGTGTGTGTGTGTGTGTGTGTGTGTGTGTGTGTGTGTGTGTGTGTGTGTGTGTGTGTGTGTGTGTGTGTGTGTGTGTGTGTGTGTGCGTGTGTGTGTGTGTGTACGTACGTGTGTGTGTGTGTGTGTGTGCGTGATTGTGTGTGATTGTCTTTGTTTCTCTTGTTGTCTGTGTCTGCATGCTCGGTTTGTTTACTTGGTTGATGTGCTCTCTCTCTCACCCTCACTCACACACACTATCTTTGTCTTTTCTTGTTCGGATCCACACCCCACACCCCACACCCCATACCCCACACCACGTGGCCCACAACCCTCCGCAAACGACAGGGCGGAGGCGGTGACGACGGATACGCTGACCATCTTCTTAACGCTGGGCTTCTTTGCGCTGTTGCTGGTGGGGATTGTCGTGACGCGGGTGACCCACGCGCTGTGCTTCAAGCAGTTTCGCATCGACGAGCGCGGCCACGTATACTAAGCAGGGCACACCACCAGCACAGCAAGCAGCCAGCAAAGCAAGCAGCCAGCAAAGCAAGCAGCAACGGCGCCATGCCCACTTCTCCGCCAACAGCAACGCGTCGTGTCGAGGATAACGCGCACCAGCGCAGCAAACAAGAACAAGAAGAAACAGAAGAAGAAGAAGAAGATCGCAAGCCCAAGAAGGCGTTCTCCTTCTTTGCGAGCGCAGACGACATCGATCTCACAGGTGTACACGCGTGTCGTGTGCGCATGCGTGTGTGTGCGTGTGTGCGTGTGTGCGCGCGTGTGCATGCACGTTTGGTAGCGTGTGCGTGTGTGTGTGTTGCTGCGTGTTTACGTGGGCTGCCGCTCCCCAACGGTCAGATAGGTCACGGGCGCGGTTCAACACAAAGAATTCTCCTCAATCACGCTCAACCTCGGACTGCCTGCTCATCTCACACTCAACCCAACTCCATCCTCCTTCTCATTCCTCCCGGCCTCTGCCCTTTAGACTCTGACGATTCGGATACCGATGACGAGGACGGTGATCGCAAACGCACCAAGAAGGGAGACGATGGGAGCGATGAAGGAGACGATGGTGGCGAACTGGCAGCGAAGAAGAGCAAAGCAGAGGCGCTGCCTTCGCTGGATGACTTGCTCTCCGACAAGAAGCTGGCCAAGCCAACCTTCCTGGAGAACCAGCTCACCGCAAAGGATGTCAAGACGTTTGACGCAAGGGAGCCCGAGGTGGCGCCCACACCGTGGGTGAAGCTGCCTGGGCAGGAGAAGTCTGCTGAACAAAAGGCAAAGCAAGAGGTAACATGGAGCAACCTCTCTGCATCATACTGCATGTTGCTGGTGGTGGTTGCTGCTGCTGCTGGTGGTGGTGGTGGTTGTTGTTGTTTGATGAACTTGTTTGCTAGGCTTGCCGCTGTGCTTGCTGTGCTTGCTGTGCTTGCTGTAGTGTGGTGTGTGGTGGGCGTGCTATCAGGCAGTGGTCTTTGGCTAACGAGGGGTGTGGTTCTGTTTATTCACGAGACGCGTGCTTCTGGTGTGCTGCATCACCAACAGCGGAAGCGGGCCGAGCAGCAGGCAAAGGCAGACGGCGTGGCACTGGAAGTCATGGCTGCAGCCCACGCTTTCAGCTCTGTGCGTCAATGTGTGCGTCTGTGTGTGTGTGTGTTGTGTGTGTGATGGCTTTACAGAAACCCCATCGCTGGTGTCACGAGCGTTTTTAGCAACATTGGCAGGGACTCATTTCCACTTCTCTGCTCCCTCCTTCTCTCGTGCGCTCTGTCTGTCTGTCTGCCTGTCTGCCTGTCTGTCTGT